TTTCTTGATTAGAGGACTTAACATCGCACTTGGACAAATGGACTAATGAATGGATCGATGTTGCTCAAAGTTAATTTTTAGTTGCTGAATGGTTTTAGCGACTAAATTATTTGGATGCAAAAGTAGTTGCCAAAAAATTGTCGATAAACATAATTAGCGACTAAAATTATTTTAGTCGCCAAATGTATACAATTCCCGACTAAAATTTTAGTCGCCAAAAGGTTAGACATTAAATTAAATTAGACCCTTTTTCGGCGACCAAACTTTTAGTCGCCTAAAGTCCCATATTTTTAGTTACTAAAATTTTAGTCGGCAAAGAATTCTTCTTTTGGCTACTAAAAATTTAGTCGTCGAAAGTCCCATATCTTTGGCTACTAAATTTTTAGTCGGCAAAGAATTCCTCTTTTGGCTACTAAATATTTGGTCGCCTAAAGTTCTATATTTTTTGCTACTAAAATTTTAGTCGGCAAAAGTGTTTTTATCCTTTAGTTTTTTGTTTTTAGCTACGAAATATGTTAGCCGCCAAATGTTTGATTTTCTTTTGGCTACTAAACTTTTAGTCGCCAAATGTCTTTTTTTCTTTTTTTTTTCTTTTTTTTTTGCTACAAAACTTTTAGTCGCCAAATGTCTTTCCCCAATTTCTTTTTAGCTACAAATTGTTTAGTCGCCAAAAACATGATATTATGTTTTATCACAAAATTATAATTTCTCCACAACCTGTCTATATTCAATGCAACCTGTAATACATATATAAATAAAATGATACATACTATCAATCATTCCACAATCTGCATCCATATACCAAAAATAAATAACTTTAAATGTCAAAATCCATACAAATTAACTATTGTCCAAACTAAAATAATAATTCCATACAAAATATATCATACAAAAATCAAAGCCCTCCGTATACAAAAAAATACATTTACTACCCTACGAAATTACCATTTGGCATGGTACAAATCATCATCGTAATCTGTACGATGACAAAAGGTGATATATGTACCACGATAAAAGTTTTCTATAGAATATGACAACACGTCCTATGTGTACGCCGACAAATGGTATATATGTACCACGACAGTCATTATCTGTTGATTGTCAAAAGTTTACTGTATCAGTAATAATGAACTACACAAAAGCTGAAGACAACAAAAGTATTATATTAGTTCTACACAAAAGTGAAAATTCTTCTCCATATAGCAATATGGATTATCCACAAGTCCATGCAACAAAGCCATCTACAAAGAAAAACAAAAAATGAAACATTAGAATTGGTTCCAAAATATCAATTCAGTCAGCTATATGGAACATGTTCTAACATGAATTTAAGGTAGAACAATCGAGAAATGTCTTCTTGGAAATAAAAGAAAGTATATATATATATATATATATGTATCATGCAATATTTATTCCAACCAACTACACAAACAATATAATATGTAATTTCTTCATCCTATAAATATATAAGGCAATTATTAGAATATGTAGATGTTATTTTCATAAAGTTGTCGCTTTTTAAACTAAGTGTAAGGCGTATTCGGGAGCTGTTCCCGAAAACCTCTTTTTCAAGTAAGTTTAGGCCGTATTCAGCTCTAACTCTCAACTTACGGGTCTGAATTACATTCCGTCAATTCTCACAAGTCCTATTTGTCATGGAAAAGCTATCCGTATGAGCCACACAGTTGTTTGGGGGTTGTTTTGAATTTTCGCCCCCGAAACGCCCTTTTTCAACTAAGTTTAGGGCGTACTCGGCTCTAACTCCCAACCTACGAGTTCGAATTACATTTTGTCAGTTCTCACAAGTCTTATTTGTCATGGTGAAGCTATCCATGTGAGCCACACGGTCATTCGGAGGCTGTTTTGAATTTTCACCCCCGAAACGCCTTTTTTCGACTAAGTTTAGGGCGTATTCGGCTCTAACTCCCAACCTACGGGTCCGGATTACATTCTGTCAGCTGTCACAAGTCCTATTTGTCACGGAGGAATTGTCCATGCGAGTCACACGGTGGTTCGGGGGCTGTTTAGAATTTTCGTCCCCAAAAAGCTCTTTTTCGACTAAGTTTAGAACGTACTTGGCTCTAACTTTCTACCTATGGGTCCGAATTACGTTCTGTCAATTGTCACAAGTCCTATTTGTCATGGGGAAGCTTTCCGTGAGAGTCACATGGTCATTTAGGGGTTGTTTAGAATTTTCGCCCCCGAAACGTCCTTTTTCGACTAAGTTTAAGACGTATTCAGCTCTAACTCTCTACCTATAGGTCCGAATTACGTTCCGTCAGTTGTCACAAGTCCTATTTGTCATGGGGAAGCTTTCCATGATAGTCACACAGTTGTTCGGGGGTTGTTTAGAATTTTCACACCCGAAACGTCTTTTTTCGACTAGGTTTATGATGTATTCAGCTCTAACTCTCTACCTATGGGTCCGAATTACGTTTTGTCAGTTGCCACAAGTCCTATTTTTCAGGGGGAAGCTGTCCGTGATAGTCATATGGTCGTTCGAGGGCTGTTTAGAATTTTCGCCCCCGAAACGCCCTTTTTTGACTAAGTTTAGGACGTATTTGGCTCTAACTCTCTACCTATGGGTCCAAATTACGTTCTGTTAGTTATCACAAGTCCTATTTGTCATCGAGAAGCTGTCCGTAAGAGTCACATGGTCGTTTGGGGGCTGTTTAGAATTTTTTCCCCTGAAATGCCCCTCTTCGACTAAGTTTAGGACGTATTCGACTCTAACTCTCTACCTATGGGTCTGAATTACGTTCCATCAGTTGTCACAAGTCCTATTTTGTATGGGTAAGCCGTCTATGATAGTCACACGGTCGTTCGGGGGCTGTTTAGAATTTTCGTCCCTGAAACGCCATTTTTCGACTAACTTTAGGGCGTATTCGGCTCTAACTCTCTACCTATGGGTCCGAATTACATTTCGTCAGTTGTCACAAGTCCTATTTGTCATGGGGAAGCTGTCCGTGAGAGTCACACGGTGGTTCAGGGGCTATTTAGAATTTTTTCCCCTTAATGCCTTTTTTCGGTTAAGTTTAAAGCGTTTTCCGCTCTAACTCCCAACCTACACGTGCTAATTACATTTCGTCTACTGTCACAGGTCCTATTTTTCATGGGAAAGCTAGTTGTGATGTCCGTATAGTGGTTCGGGGGCTGTTTTGTATTTTCGCCTCTTTAACGCCTTTTTTCAGTTAAGTTAAAGGTGTTTTCGGCTCTAACTCCCAACCTATACGTGCTAATTATATTTCGTCTATTGTCACAAGTCCTATTTGTCATGGAGAAGCTAGTTGTGATATTCGTATAGTGGTTCGAAGGCTGTTTTGCATTTTCGCCTCCTTAACGCCCTTGTTTAAATAAATTTTAATAAAGAAAGCTACATAGGTTTGTCTCTAGGGATCCAATTCCTTTAATTTAACCTGATACCCAAGTACATTACAAAATATTCCTATTTCTTAACAAATTTCATTTATTTTCTAGAATAGAATGGTGTGCACAATATGCCATAAAGCCATAAAGGTGTGCACAATATCCCATGCTGAAGTCTTGTTACAAAGTTCTATAGATCTGTGAGCTGCTAAATTGATCAACTTCTGTAGATCCTAACAAGGAGGAAATGAAATTTAAGATTTGATTGATCAGAGGGACTTACTAGTGTTATCTCAAACTGTTCACCAAAGTTTCCCAAGACAATAATAAATACAATTACCTCAAATACAAAAACAAAATTGCCTACGTTAACACTCTTTGGCCATGCATCCAAGAAATGGACATCATTTTCTTGATCAAACTTGAGTTCTTGCATCAAGGCAATTGACAAGATCATTAGGATACAAGTTTGGCAAATCAAACGATCCTAATAAAGAGCTAGTGACAACAGACCAACAGATCTAACAAAGATCATAGCAGAAGACACCGATATAATATGAAACAGTAAAGTGCAAAATGACACTCTTATTGTCACTTGATCTGAAGACACATGCATATCACGTACTATTTTTTGACACTATGTACTAAAGGGTAACCCAATGTATGAGACTCCCACTAAGACAAGGTCTGTGGAGAACAAGATCTATATAGCTTAACCCCATTGCTGGCAACAATCTCCAAGGATCCAAGACAGAACAAGAGACTAAGGTTTCTACTTTCCCAATTACAACCACACAATCATCATATAACAGCCTGAAGTTCAAAAGAAATAAATATGAATATAAGGTGAATTTTCATCAATGAAGGGTAAAGGTAAACATCCCAATAATACGTAGAACCAAGTCTTCAAGCCACAATAAGATCCTCAAGAAAGAAAAATAAAAGAGATCAAATATGGTTAATGGGGTAGACTTTGTCAAGAAATTAAGGTATTTGAAAACATGCTTACACAAGAAATGTGGATAGTAGAAAGCTCTAGTTGAGTTCCAGAGGTGCTTCCCTTTCAGAAATTAATGGAATTTCTAAGCCTCATGATGAACAAAAATGCTCTACACTAACCATTATACAAGACAATCGATGAGCAAAAGCAATGGTGTTAATTACGATACGAGAGGACATTATCAGTCCAACTACCAAAGGTATCCATAGCAAAACGGGAACATATGAGTCCCATGACTCACACCAGAGGGACCAACTATGTCAAATATAATTTATTTTTACAACATGATCCTAGTGTTTAAGGAAATTACTAGGAATATTGCCTACCAAAACAGAGATGAATCCACTATTAGGTAACATTAATAGTGTTAGTAATAGTGTTACCTGCAAATTTGATCTATTTGCCTAATATATATTACAGGTAACAGTAATACTAATAATGATGCTTACAGACCAAAATCAGTTAACCAATTATTACTGGGTAACAGAAATTTAGAGGGGGAAAAGATGCTAAAAGTTTTAATTCAGTCAAACCAGATATATGATATAAAAGTGAAACTTTTACTCATTACTTAATTAAAGGCCAGTGAGATGCCTGCTGTGTATATTCACGTACCTGATCTACATCATATTTCAACAATGTAGTAGGAGTCGCTTTAGAGGGCAGATTTCCTTCTACAATGTCCTTCATGGACTTCAACTCCTGTATTAGCTTCATTGCGAGACGTTCAATACCATGCATCTGCCTTTTTAAGAATGCATAAAACGAAAATCAAACACTAAAATGAAAACCATATTAGGTATGAAAACAATGCTAGCTAAATCACATCAAATGAATATCACAAGTTAAGATACCCACCCCTCATCTAAAAATGAATCCTTTAGTGATCCTCCAGGCTTCTTAATAATCTGAATGGCCTTCAAGTTTGTGCTGCCCCGCCATTTCCATGAAAATGATCAGCACAACAACAAAGGATAAAATAATATTTCATATGACCAGCAGTGTACAATAACAGAAGCTGTCTGAATGTACAAAGGAGATTGTAAATTACTAATCGAAGTATTATCAACTTCACAATTTAATTCAACTTCTTTTTATTCAAATAATGTTTGAAGTTGAGAGTTTTATCTCAATTAGCAATGTTCCATATCATGGTCTCATATCAATGATATCAATCTGTTAATCAATCTGTTAAGGGAAAGGGAAAGTATGGATTGGAATGTTCCATATCATATTAATCTGTTAATCAATCATTCACTCAAATTTGATGGGGGAAAAAAAAGAAAAAAGAGAAAGAGAGAGATAGTAAAGATTGAATTTTTTGCAATCATGGTCTCATAATATAGCCATGCAAACAGAAATATGTAAAACTTATTCTTTAATCAGAAGCCAATCAAGTAATATCATGTTGACAGGGGCACGAAATTAAGAAAGAAACAATTTTGGAGTAGTTCATGATAGATCTAGAGCATATTACACAATCAAAATTAAAACAAAGGCAAAAAGTAAATTTAATAGTTCATTATAACTAACGCAAGACTTTTCTTTTTCACCAATTTCTTTTTTTGAAAAACAAATATATCTTATGTCAGACCAGTTTGATAATCGATACCAAGGTGTAGAAGTTAATCCAGAGAAGAATTTAGCTAAAAGTATGAGTCACAGAAGTATTTGAATTTGAGGCCATTCTACCAATAATCTATCAGACCCTCAGGTTGCATCAATAGATAAAGAACAAAAACAGTTCTCAACTCATGTTCAAAACTACTTCAAATTTGGGTGAATTGATTCAATACGAGCAAGTGAGATTACTAATTTCTCAATTTTTATTCCTCTTCAAAGAAATTATGATAAAATCTATTGACAAAATGATAATTTTTTCACGCTTCAAACTTTTAACTATACTTTTTATTCTTGTACAAATGCCTAAATGAATGATTTAATAATAACTGAACTAACATTAACACCTTAAATATGGTATCTGAAAGTCATTGACATGCTACAGTATTTGTGTTGCTTGGGTGGTTGGTGTTGGTGGTGTAGTTGGAACTTGGAGTTGTTGTCAATGTCCATCTCTACAATGTTCTCCACTACTGTGGCTCCCCTTGGGAACTTAGAAGAGGCACAGAATAATCAAACCTTTCCTAAAGGAAAATTACTGAAGATAATATAGCAAATAAGATTGATACAATAATAAAATAAACTCAGAAATTACAAGAAAATTACAATTCAAGAAGGGAGATCAATAGCATATGATCACTACATCAGATTGCTATCATTAAAACCAATATTCCATTTTGCTTAAATCTTATAAATTTAGAGATTGGTCATTGAATATGGGTTTGAATCTTATAAATTTCTTCTATGTCAAACCCATAAAACGAAAATCAAACCCATTTTCGACATGAAGAATATCATAATTCATAAAAATCAAACAATTCAACCAAACCCATTAACGAAATCAACACAAAATGCAACTAAAAAAATCATATAAACCCTAGATGAAGTGTGAGAACTGGGAAAATAGGGGAAGGGAGAAAGAAAGAGAGAGAGAGAGAGAGAGAGAGAGAAAGAGAGGGGGGAACCAGATAGATGGCTCGACAGAGAGAGAGAGACCTAGATCGACAACGAGAGAGAGGACCAAGTGCGACAAAAATAAACTTGTGATTTGCGGCAGTTTTGGTGGTGATTTCGGCGATGGATGTGGCGACATACGACGGTGGAGACGAACGGTAGCCAGTGACGGTGAGAGAGAGAGGGGAGAGGAGCTGCGGAGAGGGAGAGAAAGAGAGAGGCAGAGGGAGAAATGCTGAAGAAAGAGAGAAGAAGCGCTGGTTTGTGGTTTGAAAACCAAATTTATATATATATTACACCATTAGCGACTAAATTTTTTTAGTCGCTGAAACAATTTTATAAATCCCTCCAAAGTATTTGAAATATCTCCCTCCAATAATTTTAGTTCTTTGGCGACCAAAATTATTTTTCGTCGCTGAAAATAAACTTTTGGCGACTAAAATTTTGATCGCCCAAGGTAAAAAATAAATTTTTATTTTCCAATCAGCGACTAAATCGTTTTAGTAGCCAAAGCTCAATATACGGCGACCAAAAATATTTTTTGTCGCTAAAAATAAACTTTTGGCGACTAAAATTTTGGTCGCCATAGCTAAAAAATAATTTTTTATTATCCAATTGGCGACTAAATCATTTTAGTAGCTAAAACTCAATATACGACGACTATATTTTTTTTTTCACCAATTCTGACATTTTTTGCGACTAAATTTTTTTTTAGTCGCCAATAACCAATATACCTCGACTAAAAAAAATTAGTAGCTAAATATTTTACTTTTACCGACTAAAAAAATTTTTCGTCGTCATTTCTACAACTTTTGGCGACTAAATTTTTTAGTCACCAATTTTGGTCGCCGAAGGTGCATTTTGTTGTAGTGATAGGACTAAAGCAAATTGGCTTAAAATTTGGTTCAGCACACTTAAAAGGAAATGGCTTGAAAAAGCTTGAACTTGGCCAGATGTTATGCCAAGCTTCTTGTGTCAAGTGCCATCATGCATCAATCCATGGTGTTTTGATGTCCTTGAAGCGTCTTAACTTCCCTTTCTGAGTTCATTTCATGACAAAAAGGAAAGGGTGTTTTGTTTTCATTTCATTCATTGATTTTGTCCAAAATCATATCCTAGAGCATCAAGCAAACAATTGCTCATTGATGCCTTTAGGAATGATTCAATCCTTCTCTTGAGATCTCTCTATGACAGAGAAGGAAGGAGGGACAAAAAGATCTTGAAAAATGCTATGTCTGCACTGATTTCACCTCAGAGCACAGAAATAGATTTTGCACCAAATTAATGCATGGCCAGCCCTCTGTAGCCCAGCCGACCATCAGTAATGCATGGCTGGCCCTTGGTGTGTGGCCAACAGTGCAGTTTTGCAGAAACAGAGGTAGTGACTGAAGGTGAAATAGAGGCGACCTAAGCAGACAGAGCAGCTTTTTGGCAATGCGCATGCAACCTCCATCCATCTTCCTTGGTGTCCTTATCAAATGTGTTTCATTGCTTTAATTGTTTTATTAGCATAATGCATTGTGTTGTAATATTTAATTAGTCTAATTAGTTGTAGCTAATTAGTCGTGTTGTAATATGTAATTAGCTTAACCTAATTAATTTATTTTAATTAGCTTAGATAGTTAGCATTCATTTCAAGTGTTGTAATAAATTAGTTAATTAGTTTAGCTATGTATTCAAGTTTTGTAATAATTAGCTTAGCTTAGCTTAGTTTAGCCTAGTTAGCTTATTTATTCGGACCCTCTTTCGCGAGGGCACAATATTGTAATAAGTGTGTGTGCGTGTGCGTGTGTCTATGTCTTTCAACCGCACATCTTTCTCCTTTTTATTTAATCACTTTTGATGGTTAGATTAGGGACATATTTTCAATTAGAATATCACGTGCTTACATCCATTCATTTGTATTGTATGTACCGGGGCTCGGCGCATCATTCAAACTACATCTTCATTTCAATACTTCTTTGAATGCGTGTCTATCGCATGTTATTCAAATCGATTCATATGCCATATTAGTAGCCGAGCCTATTAATTATAATGTCGCATGTGTTGCATTAGGCATCTCACATAGTTAGGATCATGCATTTTTCTAACTAGTTTTTGTTTTGGCTTGGAGTATTCGGTGAGTTTTATGCTTTAGCATACTTGCATGAGTGTGATTGCCATATTGCCATGTCTCGCATGCTTGCCATGAGGCTATGTGCTTAAATGTTTAACTGAATGAATGCCTGTAGATGAAGGGTTGTTGTTTGAATTGAAACAATTCAAAAAATGTGCGTTTTAAGCCCACTTTGTTAAGTGGCAAATCATGTTTTAAGCCCACTATGTTTTGTAGAAAATCTGCATTTTTAAGCCCACTTGAGAGTAGTAAATTCAAACCATTTTCACAAACAAACATGAATTGAATTGTTCCAAGTCTTGCGACTAGTCTATACTTGCTTGTGTACGTTACATAGTAAAACTAGTTTAATAACCAGAATAAGAATACATAATGTTTACAAAAACACATATCATGATTAATAGAGACCGATCTTTGATCAGGCGAGTGGGGGTGCTCATTTCAAGACCTTCCCCTCTCGTACCCAAGTTCTCGAGCCGAGGCAACTTTGGTGATGAGGGACACGTGGCCTTTGGCACTTTCCAAAATTTTTCCAAAAATAAAATATTTAGGTGGCGACTTTGTATCTAGCAAAGCAGTCCAATTTTAGCATTATTTGATTTAAAATCGATTTTCCAAAAGGTTTGCTGAATTTGGACTCTTTGGTGTTTATCAGTTTCACATTGTACTTGTGAGACTAGATTCAGAACTGCGGGAGTCCGAACTGTGAAACCTTCTTTTCAAACCCTTTCTAAAAGGCGGGGCGCGAAAAAAAGATGAGTCTGCAGTCAATTGTTGAGAAGAAGAGACAAAGGATGGATGCACAATGCCAGTTCGAACCTTTTCTCGAATGAAATGTATGTCAACCTCGATATGCTTGGTACACTTATGAAGTACATTCAGAGGATAACATAATGGCAGATTTGTTATCAGAAAATAATGAGAAAGGATCAATCTCCTCAAAACCCAAATCTGCCAGAATAGAGCGAATCCAAAGAATCTCACATGTTCCATGTGCCATTGCTCGATGCTCAACCTCTGTAGAAGACCTAGAAACCACTACTTGCTTCTTACTTTTACATGAGATAAGATGGTCACCATAGAAAGTATAGAAGCTAGAAGTGGAACGTTGATTAGTCCTGGACTGCATAGTTGGCATCGGTGAAACAAGAGAGCCCAAATTGGAGACCAGTGGTAAAGAACAATCCCAAGCTAGGAGAAGTTTTTAAATACCTCAAAATATAATGAACCGCGTCAAGGTGCTCTTTACGAGGTGCATGCATGAACTGACTCACAACACTAACTGCCAATGTCAAATCAGGTCTAGTGTTGGTCAAATAAATAAGGCGTCCAACAAGATGCTGATACATGCTTGGGTCATCCAACAACTCACTAGACTCTGATATGAGTTTGATATTAGGATCCATGGGAGTAGAAGCAAGTTTACACCCTAACATACTAGTATCTTGAAGCAAGTCAAGGTTGTACTATTTTTGAGATAAGGAAGACCAGAACGAAGTCTAGTCGGCAGCAACCAGAGCCTCGGTAGGGATAAAGAAGGCCTACGAAGGTGAAAGCAAGGAAGGAGAGGGGCTGCGAAGGCTAGGTTGAGGCTAGGATGAGGCTGTCGGAAGGAGAGAAGGAGTTATAAAGGGCTATCAGAGGCTAGAGAGAAGGAAAAAAGGCAATCAGTGACAATGGATGGTTGAGAGAGAGACGACGATGGAGGCTCTAATACTAAAAAGAACGAAAAAAATTATTTGTTTACCAATCAATGAGGTAGTGGTCATATATATATAATATATTCATGATACAATTTAGAAAACAATATACACAATATAAGATTCATATAATCAAAATAATTCCTATTCTAATTTCCATATTCAAACATAATATTTTGATTTCTATATTCAACACATATAACGTTATTTTGGAGGTGTTACAAAGATGTTGATGGATAAGGCATAAGAAGTGGAAATCAATTCCTGAGTGAGCGCTCAGTAATTGCTTGTACTCTTGTGTAATTTCATTATCTTCATATTTTATTGTTTAGTGGCTTTTAGCCCATAATTTTTTCTTTTTCTTTTTTTAATTTTTTTATTACAATTGGAGATGTTTCAATTATGATTTTTCCATGTTAAATCTTTTGTGTTGATTTATTAATTGTGAAACAATAAGCTAAATCATTTTTGTACGTGCTAGATAATTTAAATTGTTTGTTTTGTATATTTTTGGGATTTGTAGTAATTGAATCTATTTCGAATCACGAATCACATGACTTTGGATTTTTCAAGAAACTACAAAAGTTTCCTTCATCCATCTTCATCTATTTGCAACAATCTCTAACCATATTGAATCAATTCATATTAGTTTTGAATAAATTAATGGCTTCGCCATCTCAATTTGTTCATCTAGTTGAGTCTATTTCTTCAATATCTTTGAGTTCTTCAACCGATGAGAGCTTATCTAATGGGGATCATCAGATGATTTCACAACGCTATCGCAAACGAGTTCAAAATACGATGAATTTGCTTATTGCACCACAAATGGTCAAACTACTGTCACTACTAGTTAGAAGACAACATATACATAGTGATTGAGAGGGAAGTCATCGACAAATATTGAGAGATTACTCTGCTGATGATTGTACTTATCCATCAGATTACTTTCGCAGACGATATCGAATGCGCCAAGAGTTATTTCTTCGCATTTTGAAGGACATTGAAGCATACTGTGAGTATTTTGTCCCAAAAAAGG